TTAATCAATTTTCTAACAAGTGATCTTTTTGATAACATGGGCAATTTATTAGTTAGTGAAGCCAACCCTGTTTTTTAATATAAACAGATGAATTAATCAGTGGTTAACTCTTGTAATGACCAGCTCTGGCATTTAATTATTGCTGCTGTCATGGAGCATAATAGCTCATTTGACAGAGTTATTATGCAAATTGTCAACATTGACCACTACGTGTGAAGTTTAAAGCACTTTCTGTGATTATCTCTCATTTCCACATTCTCAGAACATTTTTGAGCACACGCTTTTCCTAGTGTGAAAAGTTTTATGCGACTTTTCAGTTCAGTAGTAAATTTCTGGGAACTCTGGAGTGAAACATGCCAGTTCTTCCAGGTTTTAATTGTTGGAGGGGAAAGGAAGAAGAAAACATTTTTGTTTCCCACATTATGAACGTGCTTTATGTACACCTTTTTGTATGGGACTGCGGAAAGAAAGAACCGAGATCTCCAACAAACAGAAGCTGGAGGTATTTGTTTTAGTATTTAACTCATTTTGGTGGTGAGGTCCTGCACACCCATTGAGGTAAGGCAGACTCCTGTGGAGGATAGCTGAGAGCTCTCCACAGCTCAGAATAAGGCAAGCCTAAATGCAGGCAGATAGGAAAAAAGCTCAATGTGAGACTAGCAGGAGAAGGCAAGAAACCTCCTGGAGTACCCAGAGCTCAGAATCAGTGGACTAAAAGCTGCTTGTGGTTAGAAGAAAGGGAAAAGAAAATACCACAAACATGACCTAGTCCTGACCTTGGCCTTTTGAAGGCTTTGGGACAATAATGAAGATAAGAGTAATACATTGAATAACAGCACTTAAAAGGAGGCACGGGCATTGAGTTAGATGTAAAAGTCTCTGAGGTGAATATGCATATGTGGATAATCCATGGACACCGCAAGTACACATGGATAGGTAGGTGGATAGATGTGTGTGTGTACAGCCAGGCTGTAAATAATCTCCTTGCCCCTCCTCCTGCTCACCCCATGGCAGTTTCCTCCCAGTAGTGACCCAGTGTAAATGGTGCATGTAGAGGGAGCTGGGGCCACCCCTTCTGCTTCCCTGTTGTATCCTAGCCCTGTGCACATTACAGAGCTAAAGATTTTTTTAACAGATTTAATAAACCTGAAATGTCTGGCAACAGATGCCAAATTTTATAATCTCACTGGAGTTGGCAATAAAAAGGTTCGCACAAAACCAGAAGGAAGGAAAGCAGAGAAAGCAGAGGGGCTGTTAGAAAAGAGGCAAGTGTGAAGCAGTTGCAGGCAGCAGTCAGTAGGGCAGTAAAAGCTAATAAAACTTTGATGTACAAACCACACTAATCAAAGAACAAACAAGTCTTGCATTCTTATCCCCCATTTCCTCGGCCTTCACACAGCAGATGGTGGGAATAGCATGGTTGTTTTTGTAGATAAACAGATCCCAGGTAAGCTATACCTGAGCATTGCTGTTGGCCCACCAATATGCAACAACCCTTTAAATTCCCTAAAATGAAGCCATGAACTTGCATGCATTTTCGCACTGCCAGCTCTCCCTAGCCTTGTGGTGGGATGGCCTTGAAGATCTGACTCAGCATGGGGGAAGGGAGGGAAGGAGGGAGGGAGGGGGGGAGGGAGGAAGAGAGGGAGGAAGGGGGATAGGAAGTAAGGAAGGGAGGAAGTGAGAGAGGGAGGAAGAACCTTTTTCCAGCACCCATTTCTGGCCTGTTGGACTGTCCATGTTAACCTCAGGAACGCAAGGGGAGAACTGGTAGGAAGGAGTTGCTGCGATGGACCTGGACTAGACATGAATTTGAATTTCTGCTTGCTATAACCACCCCTGACTAATTCTTAGGATGAAGGCACCCAGTCCTCTCTCCTCATCTGCAGCCTGCTGTGAGATTAGCCCACACATGGGGAAAAGTGAGACTGTTTCCGTACAGGCAACATTGCATAGGATTGTCCCAGTTATGACTAGGATTGGGTCAGTTTTAAGAAATCTAGTACTGTTCCACAACTGGTGAAGGCAGAATATGCCCTGACCGTTACTCTTGGCAATGAAATAGTTTCTTAGTGGCTCAGCATCCAGAGCTGGGGTTAACCCAGCTTCCTCTTAATTCAAACACCAAACCCAGAAGGAAACAGAAGAGCAGCTCTGCTGGAAGTACATTGTGGAGACAGTGTTTTTTGTCCTGACTGCTCAGATTGCAGTAGGGTAACTATGACCTGACAGCCTGGGCATTTATTTGCCAGCACTGCAAGCTCACATGGGCTGTAAACAGCCTGCAAACATGCCAGTAAGTGCTCTCCTTGCTGGGGAAGAACTGAAGGCCAGACCTTTTGTCAGAGTCTGTGTCTACCCTCATGCTGTCACTAGAGATGATAGGAGGGACTTCACTGGCATCAGTGGCTTTCAGGAGGTGTAAAAGCAGCCTCCTTCTGCAAGGGTAGAAACAGGCTCCCGCGGCAATGGGTCAGACGCCTGAATGTTGCATCTCTCGAACACCAGGGAGCATCTGAGATGTGTGGCCTGTGTGCCACTGTGACTGGAGAGCAGAGAAGGCAGGACAGCAGGAGGTGTGCTTGACTGGCTGAACATTGCCCTACATGTGCATTTCTCAGTTATCTCAAAGGTTTTATGACTCAGAAGTTTATTTTCATGGGTGGGGAAAAAGGAAATTATTGCATTATTTCTTGTTTATGTACCACAGTGTGCCTCCAGAAACACAGATGTTCTTACAGCTCCTGATACTGACAAAGCAAAGATTAGTTTGGTTCAAACCATCTCATTTTTACCAAGCATCAGGAGGTACCCCTCCCCTCAGGAGCTGGCAGAAAAAAGTGGTTTGGTAACTGATGTTCACATCATATTTTCTCTAATTTCACATTGAACCGGAGACACAGAACAAGCATAATTTCCATGATAGATTGGAGATGTAATAGGAAAGCCATCTAACAGGTGAAAAATGAAGTGGCCCCTGACATGGGCAGTTACTCCCTCCTGCCTGTCACAGCCTTACCCACTGCTCCCTGAAGTCTCCATGTAATAAAAACTGCGCTCATTTTGCAAGCTCACTGCAGGCCAAACAGCTGTTAATAGCACTTGACTGTGCTTCTGTAACCATCTGCAGGCATTCGGCTCCTATGCAGGGTATCTGCACGCTGCTGCTTGAAGTACCTGTTGTGATACCCAGACTGCTTGTAGTCCAAGGTGGGATGCAAAATCTGACGCAGCAGAAACAGGCTTCGTTGTGGGCTGTCTGAGCTTGCTGGCAGTCTGGGTACCTCCCCGTGCTTTCACAACTGACCATGACCAGCTCGGTTGTGTCTGTACATATCACAGCTTCACCTCCTGGCAGTCGGGTGCGTGTTCCTGAGACAGCAAGTGCTTGGAGTGGGATCATCTTTTTGATTCATGGTGATGGTCCAGGCTGCTAACAGGCCCCTTGGAGTTTGGTGAGGAGGGAGCACACCCACCCCTGCCACAGCCTGGCCTCACTGCTGACAAAGTGGGTCCTGGCTACAGCATGAGCCCTGCAGGTGGAGGTGTGGGCAGCATGGGGATGGGATGTGTGTATGCTGGATGGGGAAGCAGATGGGTAACAAGCACAGGTTGCCAGAACTTGGTAGTAAAAACCTTATTTGAAAAGTGCATTGTGTGTTACAGGTTCCTAAAGAATAGTTACTTCTCTGCTTTTACTGTGCCTTCCCTTTGTGGTCCAGCATCACAGGCATGACTTGATGGCTCTTTGGACCTGGAGAAGCCCTCCTCTTTCTAGAGTAGACCATGCTCAGATGTGCCTCATCACCACCATCGGTGTCTTTCCATGGTCTTAAAATCATTTAAAGGGGTTTCATTAGCAAAATAGGATCTACTTTGAAAGAGGTTTTTTTTCTTTAATAGATGTTCCTCTTTGTGGTTATCATATCTTATTCCAGTCTTGTTTTTGTAGTATTTTACTGAAACCCAAGTGAGTTTCCCTGCTCTTGTTTTCTTTCGCAGGATTCATTACTTCCTCCCATGAATATTGACCAGCATGAAGTGAATGCAGTCTTTTTTTAAAATACCTGATATCTTCAGCTTTTGCTATTTCAATTACATTAGCCCCAAGCTCACTGTACTATCTACTGTATAAGCAAGGGGCTAGGAAAATTGTTAATTTTCAAAACAAAATGCATCCTTAGACCTAGACCTGGAAAACTGATGAGCAACATAAAGTTGTAACTATGGCTTGACTAGACCTCAACATTTAACATAGATGAATCTGCTTTAAGTGATGCTAACACAGTTTTTCTGCCTACTCCTCAGTCAACACGACATGGTGGGGTTTGATTAAAGGAAAAGGATTTCAAAATCGTGTTCCTATACTTGGTCACCAGACTGAATTTGAAATGTTCAAATATGCCTGTCTGCTTTGCCTTCATGCTAATCAATCACAGAGGGGAACTGGCACATCACTCATTAGCTAACCAATTAGGCAGCACAGCTCACAAGGTCTAAGTCAAATATTGGGCAAGATAGCTGTCCATCACATTTGAAAAATAGATTTAGGAGTTAATGGTCTGTCCCCAGACATGTTATGAGCAAAAAAATAGCCTAAATGTATGAATCAATTGTTACTGTGAACAATTCTCCTATTTTTTCCATTCAAAACACAAGATAGTTAAATACATGCCATTATCCCCATTTTCCTAGATTCATAGATCTTAAGGCCAAGGGAGTAATTAAGATCAGCTCGGTTGACCTGCAGCTTAATACAGGCTAAAAACTCTCTTCTGACTATTTCTGCATGGAGACCACAATTTTTGCTTGGGCAACAGTACATCTTTTAAAAACACAGATAATTATGATTTGAAAATATCATGTGTTACAGAATCCGGTACATCCCTTTAAGCTGTTTGGATAATTAACCTAGTCGCTAACATTTTTGTCTTGTTTCTAATCTTTCAGCTTTCAACCGTGGAATCTTGTTACTCCTTTACACCACAAGATTACAGATCCATCTGCCAGCAGAAATCCCTTTCATAATGGTTTGTAAGTCAGAATCAAGTTACCTTTTGTCTTCTTTTGAATGAGCTAGAAATACTAAGCTTTGTTAGTCTTTTACTATACAGCCAGGTTGTTCCATCTTGGATTATTCTTCCAGTTTTCACCTGAACCTTTTCTTGTTTTAGCTTTTATGAGGCAGACACAAAATTTCCTTAGAATTGCCAAAACCCATAGCTGGCAGTTCCCTGCCTGGGGACTACATCCAGCCTCACAGAGCTGTGAATTAGGCATTAACTCAGAAAGAAGGGTCCACTGAGAACAGAGCTGAAATTTGTCTCGTTCTGGAGTGCAACGATGGTGGCTTGAGTGTCTCTATTGCATTCAAAGAAGCTAAAATCCAAGCCAGTAACACAGGAAAACTTTGTCATTTAAAAACCCAGTTTCATGATGTTAAAAACTTTTAAAAGCCAAATAATCCTGGAGAAAGAGTTTAAAATGCAAGACATCACAGTAGTTTTGTTTCCCTGCAGCTCCAAATCGGTAAAGAAGAGGTAGAAAAGTTCAGAGAAGGACAAGAGGCATGATCACAGATATAGTGAAAATACTTTCATTCAAGGAGTTATTAAAATACTAGACTTTGTCAGCTTGGAAAAGAGTTGATTGAGAAGGGAAGGTGACAGAATGCAACTGAAAATAATGCAGGAAAGGTGAATGGCAATGACTGAGTGCAAAGATGAGGAGGCATCAAATGAAAAGACAGAGTGAACAAAAAGAGATGCTTCTTTATCTGTCCTCTAATAAACTTGAATGTTTCCTGTCATGTGGGCTGTGTGACTGCTAAAAGTCTATGTATATTCCAGAAGCAACTGGGTAAAGGAAGGGATGAAAGATCCAGTAAAGGTCCCCAGTGCCAGCTCAGACTGCTCTTGGGGGACATGTAGGGCCCAGAGTGGTTGAAAGAGAGGTACTGGGAGGCACTGGCTGTGTTTGAGCTGTTTGGTTGTTTGTACTCCAGGCAAGCTGGCCACTGCTGGAGGGTCACTTTGGAAGGCCTTTGATCGCACTCTTTCCTGCTGTTCTCATGGTCTTAAAATGGGAAGTGTAATCGGGAATTTTAAACAGTTGCTTATTGCATGCCCCAAAGCCATACAGCTGCTCAAGTAAGAGTAAAAAAGTTGCACTGGCAAAAAGAACCAGGTTGGCTTGAAATAGGCAAGTGTAACTGAATACAAATGCACACACACTCAGAGGAAAAAGAGATAGTAAAGAATATAAATTATTCTAAACTGGTGGAAAACTAGAAAAAATCTTAATGAAGTGACAGGATACGAGTTAAAAACCTAAGGCAAGAGGGTGAAAGATGGGGAAAAAAAGGTTTTGATACATCTCATAGTACAAAAAAATCCTAACAACTATTCTAGCCTGTAAAAACATGTTTTTAATGTAGAAATGTCAAATAGTTTCAATATATCCTGTTGTTCCAAGTGGGTTTTTGAAAAGTCTGCATGAAGAATTCACAGAGGGTGAAGATGAAATCTGTTCCCTTCCAACAGTAACTTGGCAATATGCGGAGCAAGAGCTAATAAGCCGGCTGTTTTTAACCAGTAGGTCTGTCTGCAGCAAGAGCTTTAAAGAGCTGGATGAGGAGGTGTGTGGGCTATTAAAGTTGGTAAATCATAGGAATGCTAGAAAGACTTGTCTGGAGAAAAAGCTGATACAGATATTGGTAATTATAGGCATATCAGCTTGACATAGTGAGCATGAGCAAAGTAGAGTGATTTCATTAACAATAAGGCAAAAAGAAAACTACACTTAACAGTAATCAGTTTAAGCTTAAGAGAAACAAATTATTCAATAACAAGCATGGTACCAAATCAATTTGTTTTGTGGTAGAGGTGTTGGGGGTAATGTACTCATAATTCTCTAAGTATTTGTTATAGTATTGAATATTTTTATTAAGAATTCTTCAAAATAACATGACATATTAAGTGGGATTAAAAATATGGTAACATACTGGGTCCAAAATCTGCTGTCAAGGCCCATCTTCAGTAGGAAACTCTTGGCTTTCTTAACCTGTGCTGTTTAACCCCTGGCAGTATGAATTACCTAAAAGCAAATCTATAAGTATCGTTGAAGGCTGGGGAGAGAGGATAATGAAGAAGACACATCATTGAGCTGATTTACTTCTTAAAATGGAAGACTGCAAATACGGTGTGCTTCAGTACAGCCAAAAGTGAAGTGACTCTTGTGGGGAGAAGATTGCACTTACAAAAAGGGGGATGCTGCTTTGGGTAACAGCAAGCCCAGAAAGGACTTGGCCAAGAAATCTGATTCTGAAGGGCTCCTCACCCTACAGGCATAACAAGACCCAACAGCTTGGAGCTGAAGCTATAAAATTCCATTTTGAGTTAAGATTCCCCCTTTTTAACACCGGGAGTTCCTAGCCATCTAACTGCTTCCTAAGGTTTCTAGCAGATTCTTTGTCACCATAAAAGGAAATAAAACTCTTTTATATGGGAGATCATACTAGAAAAGCCATTTTCACCTTTTTCAGTAAATGGACTTCTGAAAATTTCTGTACACCTACTGCTCTTTTTGTGCTCTTCTACAGACCTCCTAGAAGTAGCCATGGACACATCAGGAGATCAAACTGGCCCATTGATCCCTTCTGCGTATCTAACCAACACATTTCCAAGTCAGTTTCTGAAATGGGCATAGTATTACTGTAGTAGTTTCACTGGATTTATAGAAATGGTTCCTCCACCTCCTTGGTATTTCCTCATGTCCCCTCCATAGCTATACTGTTGCATGGGATGCTCAGCTGAATGATCAGCTGATAATCCTCAACCTTTTTCAGTATCCTGCAGTCCAGCTTCTATATGTCACCATTTCTTTGTTCCTACAGGCACGCTCTGGCTCCTACATTATCAACCACCCAGATTGATATGTATAAACGAGTCACCTCCCTCACCACTTCATACTCCCTTATTTTTAGGCTCAGCTAAAACATTGTCATTGATAATTTTAATAATTTAATTCAGATAATGCACAATTAAATGCAGCTAGCTTGCAAACTAATAATAAGCAAAGATCTTTATTGCCCAGCCTAATTCCTGACCACCTATAAAGACTCTTTGACTTTCATGGGAGCTGGATTAAGATTTGACCAGGGAAGTTATATTAGGGTTAGGATTGCAATTTTGCATTTATCTTGTTTTTCCTGCTTGGATTTTGAGACAACACTTCTATCTCAGTTATTTCTATAACGGCAATAAGGGATAAGGCCAGGATTCAATTAAGTTGAAGAATGAAAGGCAGAAGAAACATTCTTCAGTGGTGCAGGATTGTTTCTTTCTGCAGAAGCACACAAAGTGCCTGTTTGTTGTGTGTGCAATTGCCAAGATGAGAAGTTAGAGACAATATTGATTTGGGCTCCCAGCTCTTTGGAAGCAGGCACTGGGTGGAAGCCAAGAAGGCTGAAGTCTAAATGCAAAGTCAGTCAGGCTCAACGGGCCATTCTTTGAGAGAGGGGATCCTTCTTTTCAGCTTTTGCACCTGTGTGTGTTGCGTGTGTGTGCATATGGAGCTAACAGGAGGCAGCATTGTCCAGGGACCACAGCAAGGAAATGAAGGGAAGGACACTCCCAGCTAGTTCACGGTTCCAAACTCTCTTGCTGGGTTGGAAGGCAGTCCATGTGAACTCTTCCCTAGCCTAAATTTAAGTGCAACAGGATGCATGACATGTTGAGGGTGGTTGGAGGGGTCTAAATGAAAGCTGAAAAGTAAGCAAGTAGTAAGCTTCATTATGAAATTTCATAAATCCTTTTCCTAAATTTTGGTGGATATTAGCTTTTCATATTACTTCATGACTTTGTAAGTCACGAACTGCGACCTTCTTTCACCAACCATGAGACAACTTAATCCAAATTGATTTGATTTTTAATTTTTTCAGGTAAACCTTACAAGATTCTGCAATAATTGCTCGACGGTGACTTCACACAGGTAAGGAGAATTACAACTTCACCAGCCCTCCTGGGCAGAGTGTTTGGACTAGATGTGGAAGGTGAAGTCTTCATAATTACTGTTTTCTGCCATTTGAAATGTTTCTGCCATGTTCTCTTCCTGATGAGGGGAGCTTGATGACAGAACTGGCATTTCTCTAGCACAAAACTGGTTGAAAAATGTGAATTTGAATTCTCTTTTTCTCTTTTATAAACAATACAATTTATATAATAACATTTATATGGCTTATGACTCTATCTGGTTTTTGTGGCCTGTAAACTTGGAAAACGTGAGCCAAAGGGCAAAAGCACTCCCAGAAATCGATATAATACAAACAGCCCTGCACAGCCAGCCTGCAAGAAAAATGTGATGGTTGACAAATTCCTTGCTCCCCGCAGTAGTCTGGGTTCTTGGCTAACCTCAAACATGCATCAGTTAAAGCTCTATGTGGATGGCAGGATTTTGCTCACATCGGCATTGTCTGACCTCTCCATTTCTGCTGTATATGTGCGTCACCTCCTGATTGCTCTCTCTGTAAAATAATCCTCCTTAAATTATTTAGATACATATTCCACCTTTCCCTTGGCTGCTGTTCTAATTCTGGTGAGTGAAATGACCTCAATTAGAAATTCTTGCTTAAACATACAATATCACTGAGAGGGTTGCAGTTTGTCTTGTCCCTTCTTGCTTTTCTCCAAGCCCCATTTTGTATGTTTTTTCTTGTCTGCAACTCATTAGCTCCTGTCATTACTTTTCCTTAAAACAAAACTAACCAGAAGATAATTATTCAGTTTGCAAAAAGGAATTAAAAAATGCCGTAATTAAGGTTACAGTTTTCCTTTTTACATCCTTGAGGGGATACTATGTTCCCTAATTACATAATCATACAAAACCAGGCCTCATACACACATATGTGGATGTTTTATATCAACAGGGGTTTTTTAATTATTTCATTAGAAATACTTCCAATTTATGGCAGCAAAAGTAAGAGTGGTATTATAGCTGTTAATTTGTAACTCAGAGCCTTTTATTGTTGCTCATGTTACTGTACTAATTAAGATGCACAGCACTGAATGTCTCTTAACCACACTGTTTTAGTATCACTTCCAAATATGTTTTGCACATTATTCTTATGTCAAAATCAGCAATAATGTGGCTACAAAAGTAGTTGTTTTCTGACAGAGAAAGGACTTTAGCCTTACCAATTCTTGCAAAGAAAATTGTGTTTCATCCCAGCATCCATTTACCTTCAAAGATTTTTTTTTTTTTTTCAGGGAAATGGTCTGGAACTTGCTCTGAAATTTAATTCTGTGGCCCACCAAAAATTTTATCACATTTGTATTTTTTAATTCAACCATCTTACACTTCTGGTGCTTCCTCATTTATTCTGCATTACCCACGAGAAAATCAGGACTGATGACATTGAACTCTGACTTTCACATGAGCCGAGGCTTTCCTTCGGGTCAGACTTTTCAAGGTCACCCCTGGCTCTTACATCCATGTGATCTGAAGTTTATTGAAAATGCACTTCGATTTTTTACCACATCTTTCCAAAAGGCAGTTATTTTGTAAAGAAAACCTACATCTGTCTGACATGATTTGCCTTTCAAAAACCTCTCCTGACTCATGATTAATAAATAATTCTCTCAGAATGTACAGTTTATGGTCCAACTGTTTGATCCCTAATCTCCAATATTAACTGTGGATTAACTCATACTTGCCTGGCATTTTGTATCTGTATCCTACACATGAGGCTCTTTTGCATTCTCTCATTAATCTCAGTAATCTCTGGTTCAGACTCAGTACCCACACGTCCTCCACAGGTTTATTGTTAATATATTTTCTAAATTAATTGAGAGGCAAGGAAAACATTTCGTTTCTTCGTTTCTTTTTCCCCAATAGCTCTATTTATTGACCCATTATTTTTCTGTAGTTTTTATTCCTCCACTATGTTGATGACATTTCCTTTCTTTAATGATGACATTTCCTTTCTATAAATATTTATACACTTTTTTCTTGGTTTCATTTTTCCCCTTTTGCTCGTCATGTCATAAAGTTGCTCATGTTTCTTCCTATAAACTCATCAGATTTCTGTGGTGTTATTTTTTTCTGTACCCACAGTTAGACCATCATTTCTTTAATGGAATACTGGAGATATGGCCGAATTCCACCCTGATAGCATTTGTTGGATTTGGCAGAAAAAAAACAAACAAGCCACATCCGGCAGTCGATTCATACGCAGATAGATTGTAAAATCAATCTTATATTTGCTTCAAATATTTACTGATGTCAAAAGACATCTTTCCTCTTCCTCCTGCCTTTTTCTGCTCCTTTTCCTCGTACATTTTTTTCTACTGTACATCACCACATGTTGCACCCTGGACAGTGTCATGGGGCAGCGTCACTGACATCTGATTCCAGTCACCCTCTTGCTCCTAATACCAAACACCTCTGGCACTCATGTTGAAGGTTGCTAGATGAGCATGAAGAACTGCTGTCTTCCACTTGAGCCACTGGGCAAGAGCAGGAAAAAGAGGAAGGACAGGGCACAGAGGTGTTCGGCTCTGCAAAAGCCATGCAACAAATTTCCCGCCTCTGGAAGATGTTTAGACTACAATTTTTTTTCCTACATCATCTGGCATCTCTATGAAAATCTTACAAATGTATAATTTAATGGGAAAAAGGGGCTGGTTAAGAAAAGTGGTTGAGGTAAAATCCAGAAAAATGTAAAATATTTGAGGAAAACACAGAAGAGCTCCACTTCAAACTCAGTCAAATGAACATGGCCTTACTCCATTTTGTAAAACAATTTCTCTAGTTTCTCATCATTTCTAGCAAATATGGAGTAAGAGTGCTGACAGGAGAGGAGGTTTATCATGGCAAAGTATGATCTGGGGCCAAAGTAAGGGTAGGCTTTCTCACTGACTACAACCTTAGGAAGACATTTGAGATTCAATGAACCCAGCCTGTTGAATATAACTATTGGAAAGGCACCTGGGACTTTTTAAATCTGTGTAAATTTATTATGCATGTAAGTGTAGAGATACCAGACTTGGCATCTGGGTGCACTAGTGTCCAGTGTTTTAATGTCCTTGCTGCCAGTTGCTATGGCTTGTAAGTCTTCTCACTGGCAACAGCACTGTCAGTCAGTTTTGACCACCTGTGTGAGAGCAGGAGAAACAAACTAGACCAGGCTAGTTACACCTACTGCCAGTTTTGGTGTATCTATCATTTTATCGCTTTGACTAGCAATAGCACTTTGAGACTCTCACTGTGGGCTGGAGCCCTACTGTGCTACGTGCTGTGCAAGGACAAACCAGAAAGACAGTCCTTGTCCTGAATGCTTTACTTTTTCAAGATAAAAACCCATCCAGACAGCAGAATGAGATAAAGGAACAATAGTCATCAGAACAATAGTGAACCTTCAGCATTATGGGCAAGAGATGTGGGTCTCTGCATCATTAGCCCTATGGAAGGATAATGGTAGGATCGCTTTAGTCAAGCCAAAGCCAGGGAAATGAATGTTGCACCAACAGAGATGAGAGATAATGAAGAACACAGTAAGATTCTGGCTGGGAAATTGCTTCATATGCTGTAAAATAAATGATTCAGAAAGAAAAGACTGTGCAACTAAGGGCAGAGCTTGAAACCCCAAAAGATGAAGGAAGTACAGAGAAGATCTCTTAGTTGAAGGGATAGGAAAGAAATGCAGCAGTTGCCAGCATTGAGAGTGACAGAGAGGCCAAGATAAGGGATAAGGAGGAAGGTGGAGTCTTGCAGCCTGATTTAGAACAGATCATTAATGACTTGCCTGTAAATCCCTTGCCAACTCCTGTCCCTAGTGATATCTGAACAGCAAAAATACATAATTTCCATGTCCTCAGTTCCCATGTGTAAAGCAGAAAAGGCTGTTCGCAGACAGGTAGAATAAGCAGAAATCTGCAGAGAAAGCAGTATCCCTGACTGAGAGCTGTGACTGTTCAGGAAAGAAGAAAAGGAGGGGTTAGAAGAGCTCAGCACCTTCCCAGTTGCCCAGTGCAGGAAGAAGGGAGCTGGGAGAGCCTTGCAGAAACCAAGAGCAGTGGCAGTAATTAGAAGAGGAAGTGTGGGGAGTCCAGGCATGATGCTGAGGTCACCAAAAGCACATGGAAAAAGAAACATGAAGAAAACAATTGAGATGCCAATAATATCATTGGCAAGGGAGCTGATGAAATCCACCAAGAGATCAAGAGCATCAGGACAAAAAGGGAGAGAAAATGGCAAAACAAAAGATAAAGAGCAGGATCATGCTGACACCTCCCTGTGTGTATGTGTGGACAGCAGGCCCTGGTTCCTGTGTCGTGTCCAACAATATTGCTTCACTGTCTTTTCTAAGGAGGCTGGGCAGAGCAGATGGTGAACAAAGATGTTGCCTGGGGCCAGAAGCCATAGGGCTGGTGTTCAGCAAAAGGCTTGGTTCTGCTATGGCCTTCTGCCTCTGCTCATCACCCACCTCTGCCCCAAAGTGCACACCTGAAACAAACCATTTTCTAACCATTGCGCTTTTTTAACCTCATCCTACATTTTCTGCTGATGGTTAGTGACACAGGCCTGCTGATATTTTCATCCAGTTTGGTTCTTTTCTCTGTTTCTTCACATTTGGATTTACACCACTGCTTTGTGATGTGTGAGATGGGGAGAGCCTTTACATAATATATAGCAGGGGATGTTTATTAAAAAAGGGAAGAAAACGGAGAAGTGAATGATTTGGTACAGCAACTCAATAACCTAAAACATATTTTACAAAAAAAAAGCATCAGCAGTCGTGTAGTATAATATCACACACTGAGCAAAATTCGTGGCTATGCATAAGTTAGTTCAGTGCCTTGGCAGATAAAAAGATTAATGAAATCTTCCCTTTATGCTCACAGAAAAAACAGTTCTCGCAGACTCCCTTAAATCTCTTGTCATTGCCAAACTCCCATTTTCTTTCTCCATGAACTCAAAAGTCAGGGATGAAAAGGCATATAGAAATTTTGCCAACCTCCAGCTTCATATTTTCTGGCATCAACATTTAATTATCTCTGCAGGCATGCGGCAGGCAAGTCTGTTGCTGTACATTTTTTATACACAGAGGATGAAATTTTGTGTGGTGACAAGAAGGTGTTACCTGACATGGAGTGAGGAGATCAATTGGCCTTAAAATGATTATCTGTGTATCACCAAAAGTGTGTAGGGCACTTTATGTAGGAAATAATAAAATTTAATTCACAGTGAAAACTAAATATCTTAATCTCCAGCTTTGCATTAATTTACATAGGCACCCAACTTAACCTGCCCAAGCTGCTGAAGGGGACTGGGAAACCACTGGACTTGATCCAGTAAGCCCCACATGGACATTTAGAGACAATTGAGATGTCCTTGGATAATATGCCATGGCTGCAACTGGAGTGGCACAGGGCCCAAAGGCACTGGTCTACCTAGCCATGTCTTGGGAAGCAGAGGGCACCTTGGGCAGCACCAGATAGGTGGCTTTCAGAGTCTGACTGGGTGGCATTGAGCTCCTGGTGAGGTCAGAGGTTTGAGATACCCATGTGTATTTGAAGTGCCTGGGCCAGGTGCCAGCTGGGGCAGTCAGGGGATACTGGGCCAGACAGTAGGGTCAGACTTTCCCCATCAGTGCTTTCCCTTCCAGGATGATTTGTTAACACAGGGAACAATGATGGAGAGGACTGAAAAGTGAACTTATTACTCATTGTTTTCTTCAGACAGGACTCAGCTGCAGCCCAGACAGCTGTTCTGTCTGCATTCTTGCTGGTTATATTTTTCTAAGATGCTCATTATTTTAGGTGCCCTGAATTGTTCAAACCCTGTCCTCCTTCACAGCTGCCCTTTCAGTAGCTCTATGGATTGACAATTTATTTTCCTTTACTTCTTGTCCTACGCAAGAATAAAAATTGTAGTATGGAAGAGTTCATTTTCGTATTTACAAGACTAATGCATGCTGGCAGAAGGAGTAGCTACACATATTAGCCAGTCCCCCGTGAGCACTTTCTACCCCTCTTTCTAGGCCTAGCTCGTGGTCTCTGCTCTGTCATGTCTTTCACCTGTTGAAAAAATGTCTCCTGTGAGGTTTGGTGTGTCTACCCAGATGATCTGGCTGATGAATGAGCCTGTGGATAGCACAAAGCAGCATCTATAGTTATTGGGAATGTCACGTAGCAACTACTAAGTGCACTTTGGGAAACAAAACCCAAAAAGAGATGCTTTAGTAGTTTTTGAGTTTGGTTTTGGTTTTTTTGTTTTGGCTTTTGATTTTTAAAAAATCATTCTGCTTTATTTGAATGCCCCTCCACTGGTAGTCTTTTCTTTTTCTTTCTTCCTTTGGAGGAAGAAAATGTGAAAGGAAAGATGTAAAAATGCAAAATGATGTATTTTTC